CTTCCCCCCCAGATCCCAATTCTGAAGGCTGTGTGTTACTCAGGAGACAGTAAAACAGAGGGTCTTTGTATTGGAAGATATCATCCAGCACCTGAGGTAGAATTAAGTGAGAAGTTTTATATGAATTCTGATATGAATTCTGATTCCTTCCTCCTTTGCAGCCATTTTCTCTCACTTGACTTTTCAACAAATTTGTCCCATGGACTCAGAACTTCCAATGAGCTTTTAAATGCTCACCTTAAGAATTCAAATTGATGTATAATTAGCATACAGTATCCTATTAGTTTCATGTGTATTTCATAGTGATTCAATATTTTTATGCATTGCTAAATTATCTCCATTAAAAGTCAACATCTGTCACCATACAATTATTATAATATTATTGACTATTTTTCCTATGCTTTACATTACATCCCCCTGACTTATTTTATAAATGGAAGTTTGTAACTCAGTCCCCTTCACTTATTTAACCCCCCTTCACCCCCCAATCCCTCCCCTCTGGTAAGCAATGGTTTATTTCCTATATCCATTAGTCTGTTGGTGTTTTGGTTTGGTTTTTAGATTCACATATAAATAAAATCACTTGATATTTGTCTTTGACTTATTTCATTTAGGATAATACCCTCTAGATCTATCCAGGTTACTACAAATGGTAAGATTTCATTCTTTTTATAGCTGAGTAATATTTCTCTTTCTCTCTCTCTCTCTCTCTCTGTGTTTGTGTGTGTGTGTGAGAGACCAATTTACATTCCCACCAACAGTGTTGGAGGGTTCCCTTTTCTCCATAGTCTTACCAGTGCTTGTTATTTCTTGTCTTTTGGATAGTGGCCATTCTGACCGGTGTGAGGTGATATTGTGGTTTTTATTTGCATTTCTCTGATGATGGGTGATGTTGAGCATATTGTCTTGTGCCTATTAATTATCTGTCTTATAAATTTGGGAAAACGTCTGTTCAAGATCTCTGCCCACTTTTAGAATTTTTTAAAATATTAAGTTCTCTATATATTTTGGATATTCACCCTTTCTAAGATGTATGATTCGCAAATATCTTCTCTCCCATTTAGTAGGTTGTCTTTTCATTTTGTTGATGTTTCTTTTGTTGTGTGTAGCTTTATTAATTTGATGTAATCCCATTTGCTTATTTTAGGTGTTTTTCCCTTGCTGGAAAAGAGTGGTCCAAAAAAAAAATATTTCTAAAACGATGTCAAAGAGATTGCTGTGTGTGGTTTCTTCAAAGAGTAAGAGTTCTATGCTTTAAGGTCTTAAATACAAGCCCTTCATCCATTTTTGAACCTATTTTTGTATATGGTGTAAAATAATGGTCCACTGTCATTCTTTTGTATGTACCTGTCTAGGTTTTCCAGTACCACTTACTGAAGCAACTATCTTTTCCCTATTGTATATTCTTGCCTTCTTTATCATAGATTAGTTGATCTTATATGTATGGGTAAATGCCTTACCAGAGTTTAAAGATGATATTGTAATTATTAAATAGACATCAGTCTGGCAGCAATTCAGAATCAGTTGTAACCAAGCAAGACTTGGAAAGGCTTTAGGGAAAAGCTGACCAAAGAGACCTGAGCTAAGGTAACAGTTGTGGAGATGACAATGATAGCATTTAAAAAAGCAAATTATAGGCTCCTTGCTAGAAAACTAATTCTGAACCAATGGGGTTGAAGGTACGGGATTCTGGAATCTGTTTTTTAGAATCACCTCAGCTAATTCTGATGTAGCCAGCTGGGGAGTGATCTAGAGATGGGTGACTAGAAACATATGCTATAATTGGATATAGGAAGGTTAAAAAAAAAAAAGGAGGGGGAAGACCTAGGTTTCTTCACCAGCGGGCTGGCTGGATGATGGTGTCGTTCCCAAATAAAGAAACAAACATAAGATACACATTTGCCTCCAGCCCCCACCCTGCAAACCCGCGCATGAGCACACACACACACATGATAGTTTTAAGTAGCCTGTGGTACATCCTGGTGACAAGCCTCACGGGCAGGTGGAGATAACTCTTGCTTTGATTACTGGTACAGTTTCTTGCCGCTAATACTTAAGACCCTAGATCATCCTATACCTTTCCGTGTATATTGTTGCTGGGCTGCCTTCTCAGCCCTTCCCTCAACACGAACAAAAAAGCAGCCAAACAAAAATCCCTGGTTATTTCCTCTCTGCTCCTGCACAGTAGCTTAAAAATCACTATTACTGCCGTTGGCACTTGTAATTGATTTACATGTCTCCAACTATAGCTCTCTTGGCAACATTACTATTCAGGCATGTAGTTTAGGTAACTACCCCTCAGACCTGTTTTATTTTTTTCTACAGCTCCAACTCAAAGCTGAAAATTTCTTAGTTAACGTTTACATTAATATCTCCTGTCTTGCCTGAGGGTTTCTGCCCGGACAAATTCACTATGAATTAGGTGAAACCGAGAAATGCCAACGGATGGTTCTTGGGGTAGAAGGATTTATCCCTGGCTTTATTCTCAGGGCGGTGGGTCGAACACTAGACTCACGTCTGCATCCAACAGTCTGCAGGTGCATAATCCACTCTTTCCCAGAGCACTGCGTCGAGCTCTTTATATAGTGACTCAGTCAATAATCACTCATTGCCTAAGGCTATGAAAGTAGTAGCCTAGCAGCAGGCCAATTACATCATCAAGAAGTTTAGGGTTAGATGAGGATCCGGACTTTCCTTTCCCCACATCGCCCGATTAAAGTATCAGCCCAGTTATGAGAGGGCCTTTGCAGGCTCCATCGCTGCAGTCACAGTCCCTCACAATCTAGGGCAGATTTTCAGGAAATGTCAAATGGATGAGGTCCACTCATTCTCGCATTTCACAACGATTTCATCTTGGCTCACATCAGCCCTGGACGATTTCTTTATCTTCACTCCCTAAATGAGGAGACTGTGGCTCAGAATCAAATTACCTTGCCCAGAGTTTCTTAGCAAGTATGAAAGGGTACGCAGCTCCAAGCAGGTCAACCCGAGTCCTTCCAAATCCTGTCCAAAACCCAGCGCGACCAGAACAGCCGCCTCAGCTGAGAGCAGTCAGCAAATACTCGGCCAGTTGCTCTCGCTGCTTGGCTCCAGAGCTTCAGGAGGGGGCGGGGTAGAGCGCCGCAATCCGCCCCACGGCGCTGGCGCTGGCGTCAGGGGCGACGCAGCAGATTTACGCAAGAGCTGGCGTACTCGCGTCTAGGCGGGGCGCGGTCGGCTCGCGGTAGGTCTTGTGGGTAAACTGCCAGGAGGAGGTTTGAGAGGAGTCGGACCTCCACCCCACGCCCCCAGACCTTCTGAGTGAGTCGCGGCTCGAGGCTGTGTCCGTGGGGGCTGGTGTGAGGGAGGCGGAGAGGCGAGACCTGGGGCTGGCTGCGCACAGTTTCGCTCAGCTTCAGGGCCACCACCTGGCCTGGGACCGAGTCGGTGATTTCTGGCAGGCTGGTGTGGTACAAAGACTGAACTGTGATATGTGTCTCTCCTGAGTCACCATCCTTGGACCCTCTGCCCCATCATTCATTTGGAAATAAGCCTGCCCTACCTTCCTGGTAGCCTGGTTTCGAAGGGCAAATGAAAAAGCGTTTTGGAAGCTATAAAGTGCATTGTTATTAAATGTAGTTGCGTAATGTTAGAAAGGAAGCTGGTGGATACGGGAAAATAAAGTTTCTAGATGATTTATTTGTCTTTAAAATCGCCAGTAACCAAGGGAGAGTCCTCAAAGCAAAATAATTTGTTGACACTCTTAAGACCTGTAATGACTAAATAGCAGTCTCTGCAGTTGTAAATAATGTAGAAAATACGTAAACATAATGATCCCATTACATATAAAATGTGCTTACCAGATTTTGGCTTTTTCCCCCTTTCTTGTAAGGTCCCAGAAATGTTTTGTGCATCCAATAGGTATGGTATTCTCAATTGGAGACAATGTATTTATGGTTCCGTTAATGAAGATGAAAACCGTAGACAAGAATAGATTTTGCCTTAATTCTCTGTAGCAACAACTGGGAAACCTGTAATTAAAAGTAGGAAAACATCTTAACTGTTTTATAGATATGTGTGGTGAGTACTGTAATTTGTCATAATCCTGGCATTTTCTTTCTTAGTAATTCATTTTATAATCTTGTCTCTTACTTTGTCAAGTAATTTTGGAGTACAATAGATTATCCTTATTGAAAATCAACTGATGTAGGTGTTTTTGCATTTAAAAATGCATTTTTTTCTGCATGTAGGTTATACATTTTTGTAAAAATACCTTCATATAATACATTCCATATTGTTGGCAATTTAATATTCATGTGGGAGAATAGCAGAAGGTACTCTGTACCAATTGTAACTTGTGAAATTATAAACTCATTACCCATAATTATAGTCCATGGTATGGAAAGTCTTCCTTGTATTTATATGATCATCTGTGTGTATGAAGAAAGCTTAAAAATATTGTATGTCACAAAAACAATAGTATTTATAGAAATGCTTACTAAAGAGAAAAACCATAAAGTAAGTACTCAAGTTAGCTTATGTTTTTAAACTTTATATTTAGAAATCATAGTATTTCTAAACCTTTTGCAGATCTTAATCTGTAAAAATAACTGAAGGAAATGAAAAAATTAAGCATGTGGTGCTTTGAATTGAGTTTGTTGGCTAATTTTTAATATATTTTTTACATGTGGTCAATTGAGAATTTTACATTTCTACTTGTTTCATCCTCGTCTATGGATATCCACATTTTATTTTAGATCTGATTCAGCATTAAGTTTATTGATCAGATTAATTTTGAATTTCATGGTTCTTACAAAGTTATCTGGACAATTCATAAGTTCAGAGCTTCTTTAATTTTATTTTTTTGATATACTTATTTTTGTGAGGAGTGATTGTATAGAAGTTTCTCTCTTCCCCTTTCTCCTGACCAGGCACCCTAAAACTCCCTGTATCCTAAACATTTCTGTATATATAGGTAAGAGTTCTCTGCTACCAATGATGTTTAAATAAACTTCAGTGAAATGACTCTTCAAGACTTGGTGCATCAGGCTGCCTCCACATATTCGGATAAAATAGCTGTATGTTTTGACGAATGTAACAACCAGCCTCCAGTTTATTATACCTACAAGACTGTGGTTAATGCTGCTTTAGAATTGTCAAATTTCCTACTATTACACTGTGACTTTAAAGGAATACGGGAAATTGGTCTTTGCTGCCATCCTGGGATAAACTTACCCTCTTGGATTTTAGGGTAATATGTTTTATTGATATGAAACTTTTAGTCCTCTAACCTACTTTACTATTTTTAACACATAGAATATATAGCAATTTACCCTTCTGTTTGCTGTTGGATTTTTCTGTATTGCTTGCTCAATTCTAGAGGTTAAGGGAGTTTGTATTTTTTATAGGGTTATTTTTGATCATTTAATTTGAGCTTATTTAGGAGATATTAGAAGTTTTCACTAATAATAGAACATGCAAGTATCACCAGTATATAAGGGCTTCATTTGTCTGCCAAGGGAAAACAGTTAAAAATTCTGTTGTTAAATTGAAGAAGTATTTCAGAAATAACATGGGTATTTTTTCCCCTGAGGTTGAAGTTTTGGTACTTACATGTTCAATAAATGAGTGAATGAATAAATGAGAGTTTTGGATAATGGTCCATAAAAATTGAGATACGAATTAAGGAAGATACTAATTCAAAAAAATATTTACAAATATTCAATCATTTAATTTTTCTAGAATATTATCCTCATACAGTGACTTCTCGGGTTCTTCAGTAAATAAAAACTGCTAAAGAATTGGAGAAATTGATATTCATCTCATAATATGTGTGTTAGTAAATTATATAAATGTAAGGTAAAAATTTTTTTTTAAATTTTCATTCAATTGACAAAAATTTACTGAGAATTTAGTATGTGCAAAGATCTAGTCTTTGTACTAGTAAAGTCACTGAATTGTACCCAGAGTACTTTTAGTTAAAAGTGATGTTTGACCATATTTCTATAAGCATTGCCACATACAAATTTTACCATTTTTTTCCCACTTAAAGTATTCTGTTTTGGTGAAATACATCTTTTTTAGTATGCAGATTTTATTAAAGTGCGTATAATAAGTTGAATGTAGATATTTAGCTTATTTTATGTTATCTTACCTCAATGAAGAAATAAGACTCTGCTGCCTGTTTGGTACCGGTAGCCAGCTAGCTAACCAAATATTATATATTGTAATACAGTAGCTTTAAAAAATCTTGGATTTGTGTAGTTAAATGATGATAGTTTAATATAGTAAATACTCCGGGTATTCAGTCATAAGAGTAAAATAAAGTAACTATAACCAAAGATGCACGAACAGAAATATTGTGAATTTCTGATAAAGTCAATAATAAAGTACATAGGGAAATAGAAATACTTAAAGATTATTTGCAACAGATATTCTATGCTGACTATGTACTTTGTTTCTTTAGGATTCTCCAAGTCCCTGCTGCTTATGCTCCTATTGATCCAGATTCACCACCAGCATTATCAACTTATTTTATGAAAAAATGTGCTCTAAAGTATATCCTTGTTGAAAAACAACAAATTAATGTAAGTGTGCATATTTAAATTGGTTTTTTAAAATGTATTAACATTTAACTTCCAATTGAAGGGTTTCTTCTCCCCACCTTCTTGATTTCTAAATTTACTAACTGTAGGGTTTCTCAGTCCCAGTGTTGTTGACATTTTTGGTTGGGAGTTGTTTGTTGTGAGGAATGTCCTGTACACTGAAGGATGTTTGACACAGTCCGGCTTCCACCCACTAGATCCAGTAGTACTCCGAGTTGAGAAAACCAGAATTGTCTCCAGAAATTGCCAGATATCTCTTGAGGCACCCTCTACCCACCACACTCTATTGAGAAGCACTGCTCTATAGCACAAACATGTCTTTTAGCCTTATAATTTCTATTATGCATTGTTTTGAATTTCCTTCCTCTTTCTAAAGTTCCTCTATTAGTTGAATTGTTCTTATAATAATTGAGACTTATATCTTCCTATATTTATGGGAATTTACAGTGGTCAAAAATATTAATTATTACTATGATTGGATTTTGAAAAGAGATTGCCACTGAGAACAGACCTTTCTGGAAAACTAAATTTATTATCTTTTTAAGTGGCTGCCAGCCAAAGATCTAGCTAAGAAACACTGTCTTAGGGGCAACAGTTGGCATTATATGTTCAGCAAGACACAGCCCATGTTTTTATTTATTGCTTATAAAATACTGTTTTATCAGTGAGAAAGGAAGAACATCATAGCAGGTATATTTAGTTTAGCCTGTTTTAGCCATTTCCCTTTTGAACCAATTTATGTTAGATGGAATGCATTTAAGTTACCCTGATGTATGTATATGTGTGTGCATCTCTATCTGTGTAGATAGGAATAAGAAGTATCAAAAGCTTCAGGTAATACAGATGACTTACTAGAGAATCATGGGTGCTAGAGTAAGGTCTCCAGAAAAAGACATCTAAGGTATAATTTGGTTAATATTATCTGAGTAGACATATTAGTGTCTGGCCGAAGTTTTGTATTTTTTACCAACTTGGTGAAAGTTTGTAAAAGAGGTGTTTGGGTGTGAGAATTGTTAGTATCAAGGTATTCTTTATAATTGCTTACAGGAAGGAGTTGGGCACATAGCAAAACCTCATGAAAAGTACCTTGTTTCCTATTCAATGATTTGATGTTCTTTAATAACTGTTTTTCCTTCACTTAACACAGGGCAATCAAGAAGTATTTCTTGAGAATCTACTGTACGCCTATGTCCACAAGGGCAGTGGTTCTCAGCTGAGATGAATTTGCTTTCTAGAAGACATTCAGCAGTGTCTGGAGTCATTTTTTATTTTCATAGTGGTGGGGTACTATTGGCATTTAGTAGGTAGAGACCAAAGATACAGCCAAAAATCCTACAAGGCACAAGATAGCCCCCTGACAAAGATTTACCTGCTCCAAAATGTTAGTAGTGTCAAGATTGGAAACCCTACACTAGAGACAGCTTGTTTGCTAGGGCATTAGTTATGTGAAAAAAGCCTAAGACATGAATCTTGCCCTCTGGCTGCTTATAATATAGTTGGAGTGAAAAAATTATTATTCCTAAACCTGTAAGGTCTACATAGTGTGATATTTTGCTGAGTGAAGTAAGTATAACCTAGTAAATTTTAATAGGAGAAGATGGTTTTGTGCTAAGTCTTAAAAAATATAAAAGGCATACATTAATATTATAGGCCACATCACATCCTTCCTAATACACAACAAACTTAGAAAACAGTACAGTGTCCTGGGTTGTGACCTTATTCTCTCATTTACATTGATTTCTTTAATGTGAAATTTAAGTTATGTTTCATTAAGCTGCTTTTTATGAACCTAAAAAGGTGCATCCCAAGTAACCTCACTTTTAGCATGTATAAATTGAATCTAGCATCTTTTCATCCAAACTTAACTTCTGTATTAATTTCCTTCCCCCAAATACATGATCCAGAAATTCAACAGTCTTCTTAGGCTCACTATATCCAGAAAGTTCCAAGTCCTTTTGATTCTTTGCTTATAGACCCTTTCTCTCCACTCTTGAAGCAACAGACTACTTCAGGCCCATATCACATATCTGAATTGTTGGAAAAAGTTAAATGACTTTCAATTTATCGGTTTTACTGATTAGTCTATTCTTGATGGAGTAAAGTCTAGTCTAAGCTGTTGGCACCTTCTGTTGAATACCATTGCTACAGGTTTAAGGTCTAAACTTCTTAATATTGAGTGTAAAGTTAATAAGAATTAGCATCTCATCTCTTATTAGCAGCAGTATTCACAATCTGCTTCTCCCCCAGTTCTGCAGCTTACTGGAAAGCCTCAAGTTCTCTTCAATACCAGCTTTTCTGGGTCATATACTCTGTATTGACTGTTTGCCTGAAGTACCCCTCTTTTTTATTTTTAGACTAGGTAGTTAAAACACAAAAATTACATATGAATAAATAATCTCTGACATTCCAGGCAGAGTTAAGTTCAGCTTCTTTAGTTCCCATTAACATTTCAAGCATATTTCATTACCATACTTCTGCATTGTGCTACAGTTGAGTGTTTATGTCTTTATTTTAAAGTATTTAGTTTGAAAGTAAGAATGGTGCTTTACCCTCAGGTTTCTAATTTTTTTTATGCCTGTATATATAGCAAGTACTACGAAAAAAAAAGCAATGTTGAATGTAAAAAAAGTGTCTTTTAACTTATTAATGTCATAAACTTTGTTCCCTAACAGAAATTCAAATCTTCCTATGAAACATTATTGAACTTTGATACATTTACAGTAGAACATAACGACCTAGTACTCTTCAGACTTAACTGGAAAAATGTTGAGGGAAGCTTGATACTAAAGGATAGAAAAAAGAAATATGAAAAAGAAAAAACGACAAACAGCAGATCTGAGAACAGCAATGAAGAAAAGTCAGAGTACATGGATGTGAGACTAGAGCATTGCTTGGCTTATGTTCTCCATACATCAGGCACTACAGGGACACCTAAGATTGTCAGAGTCCCTCATGCATGTATAGTGCCAAACATCCAGCATTTTCGGTAAGTTCTATCCTTAGAATCCTTCTTCAGGATTTTTTTTTTCTTTTTATTAAGGTATCATTGATATACACTCTTATAAAGATTTCACATGAAAAACATTGTGGTTACTACATTCACCCATATTATCAAGTATCCCCCAAACCCCATTGAAGTCACTGTCCATCAGTATAGTAAGATGTCATAGTTACTATTTGTCTACTCCATGCTACACTGACTTCCCTGTGACCCCCCCACATATCATGTGTAGTAATCATAATATCCCTCAATTCCCTTCTGCCTCCCTCCCCCACCCCTCCCCTTTGGTAACTGCTATACCCTTCTTGGAGTCTGTTGAGTCTGCTACTGTTTTGTTCCTTCAGTTTTGCTTCGTTGTTATACTCCGCAAATGAGGGAAATCATTTGGTACTTATCTTTCTGTGCCTGCCTGTCTTATTACACTGATCATAATACCCTCTACCTCCATCCATGTTTTTGCAAATGGTAGGATTTGTTTTCTTCTAATGATTGAATAGTATTCCATTGTGTATATGTACCACATCTTCTTTATTCATTCATCTACTGATAGACCCTAAGGTTGCCTCCATTTCTTGGCTGTTGTAAATATTGCTGCAATAAACATAGGGGTGCGTATATCTTTTTGAGTGTGAGAACTTGTTTTCTTTGGGTAAATTCCTAGGAGTGGAATTCCTGGGTCAAATGGTATTTCTATTTTTAGTTTTTTGAGGAACATCCATATTGCTTTCCACAATGGTTGAACTAATTTACATTCCCACCAGCAGTGTAGGAGGGTTCCCCTTTCTCCGCATCCTCGCTAGCATTTGTTGTTCCTAGTCTTTTCAGTGTTAGCCATCCTAACTAGTATGAGGTGATATCTCATTGTCATTTTAATTTGCATTTCCCTGATAATTAGCGATGTGGAGCAACTTTTCATGGGCCTGTTGGCCATCTGAATTACTTCTTTGGAGAAGTGTCTGTTCATATCCTCTGCCCATTTTTTAATAAGGTTATTTGCTTTTGGGGTTTGAGGCATGTGAGTTCTTTGGAAATTTTGGATATTAACCCCTTGTCACTTATGTCATTCACAAATATATTCTTCTATACTGTAGGATGCTTTTTTGTTCTGTTGATGGTGTCCTTTGCTGTACAGAAGCTTTTTAGCATGATGTAGTTCCATTTGTTAATTTTTGTTTTGTTTCCCTTGCCCGAGGATATGCTTTCATGAAAAAGTTGCTCATGTTTATATTCAAGAGATTTTTGCCTATGTTTTCTTCTAAGAGTTTTATGGTTTCATGACTTCCTTTCAGGTCTTTGATTGATTTTGAGTTTACTTTTATATATGGGGGTAGACAATAATCCAGTTTCATTCTCTTGCATGTAGCTGTTCAGTTTTGCCAACACCAGTTGTTGAAGAGTCTGTCATTTCCCCATTATATATCCATGGCTCCTTTATCGTATATTAATTGACCACATATGCTTGGGTTTATATCAGGGCTCTCTAGTCTGTTCCATTGGTCTATGGGTCTGTTCTTATGCCAGTACCAAATTGTCTTGATTACTATAGCTTTGCAGTAGAGCTTGAAGTCGGGAGCATAATCCTCCCAGCTTTATTCTTGCTTCTCAGGATTGCTTTGGCAATTTGGGGTCTTTTGTGGTTCCATATGAATTTTAAAACTATTTGCCCTAATTTGTTGAAGAATGTTGTTGGTATTTTGATAGGTATTGCACTGAATCTGTAGATTGCTTTAGGGAGGATGGCCATTTTGACAATATTAATTCTTCCTATCCATGAGCACGGGATGTGTTTCCATTTATTGGTGTCTTCTTTAATTTCTCTCATGACTTTCTTGTAGTTTTCAGAGTATAGGTCTTTCACTTCCTTGGTTAAGTTTGTTCCTAGGTATTTTATTCTTTTTGATGCAATTGTGAATGGAATTGTTTTCTTGATTTCTCTTTCTGCTAGTTCGTCATTAATATGTAGGAATGCAACAGATTTCTGTATATTGATTTTGTATCCTGCAACTTTCCTGAATTCAGTTATTTTAGTAGTTTTGAGGTGGATTCCTTAGGGGTTTTTTATGTACAGTATCATGTCATCTGCAAGCAGTGACAATATAACTTCCTCCTTATACCTATCTGGATGCCTTTTATTTGTTTGTGTTGTCTGATTGCCATGACTAGAACCTCCGGTACTATGTTGAATAAAAGTGGGAAGAGTGGGCATCCTTGTCTTGTTGCTGATCTTAAAGGCAAAGCTTTCTGCTTCTTGCTGTTAAGTATGTTATTGGATGTGGGTTTGTCATATATGTTTATGTTGAGGTACTTGCCCTCTATACCCATTTTGTTGAGAGTTTTTATCATGAATGGATGTTGAATTTTGTCAAATGCTTTTTCAACATCTATGGAGATGATCATGTGGTTTTTGCCCTATTTTTTTGATGTAGTATATGATGTTGATGGATTTTTGAATGTTGTACCATCCTTGCATCCCTGGAATAAATCCTACTTGATCAGGATGGATGATCTTTTAGATGTATTTTTTAATTTGATTTGATAATATTTTGTTGAGTATTTTTGCATCTATGTCCATCAGGGATATTGGTCTGTAATTTTCTTTTTTTGTTGTGTCTTTGCCTGGTTTTGATATTAGAATGATGCTGACCTCATAGAATGAGTTTGGAAATACTCCCTCCTCTTCTACCTTTTGGAAAATTTTAAGGAGGTTGGGTATCAGGTTTTCACTAAATGTTTGATAAAATTCAGTGGTGACACCATCTGGTTCAGTCATTTTGTTCTTAGGTAGTTTTTTGAATACCAATTCAATATTGTTGGTGGTAATTGGTCTGTTCAGATTTTCTGTTTTTTCTGGGTCAGTCTTGGAAGGTTGTATTCTTCTAGAAAGTTGTCCATTTCTTCTAGGTTATTGAGTTTGTTAACATGTAATTTTTTATAGTATTCTCTAATAATTCTTTGTATTTCTGTGGTGTCCGTAGTGATTTTTCCTTTCTCATTTCTGATTCTGTTTATGTGTGTAGACTCTCTTTTTTTCTTGATGAATCTGGCCAGGGGTTTATCTGCTTTGTTTATATTCTCAAAGAACCAGCTCTTGCTTTCATTGATTCTTTCTATTGTTTTATTCTTCTCATTTTTATTTATTTATGCTCTAATCTTTAGTATGTCCCTCCTTCTCCTGTCTTTAGGCCTCATTTGTTCTTCTTTTTCTAGTTTCATTGATTGCGAGTTTAGAGTGATCATATGGGATCATTCTTCTTTCCTGAGGTCGGCCTGTATTGCAGTATACTTACCTCTTAGCACAGCCTTCTCTGTGTCCCTCAGATTTTGTGGTGTTGAGTTATTGTTTTCATTTGTCTCCATATATTGCTTCATTTCTGTTTTTATTTGGTCATTGGTCCAGTGATTATTTAGGAGCATGTTATTAAGCTCCATTTATTTTTGGGCTTTTTTGTTTTCTTTGCAAAGTTATTTCTAGAGTCATAACTTTGTAGTCTGAGAGGCTGGTTGGTACAATTTCAATCTTTTTGAATTTACTTAGGCTCTTTTTGTGGCCTATTATGTGGTCTTTTCTGGAAAATGTTCCATGTGCACTTGAGAAGAATGTGTATCCTGCTGCTTTTGAGCGGAGTGTTCTGTAATGTGTTCTAATGTGTTGTTCAGTGTCTCTATCTCTTTACTTATTTTTTGTCTGGTTGATCTGTCCTTTGGAGTGTGTGGTGTGTTGAAGTCTCCCAGAATAAATGTATTGCCTTCTATTTTCTTCTTTAATTCTGTTACTATTTGTTTCACATATATAGGTGCTCCTGTGTTGGGTGCATAGATATTTATAATGATTATATCCTCTTGTTAGACTCACCCCTTTATCATTATGTCATGTCCTTCTTTCTCTCTTGTTCCTTTCTTTGTTTTGAAGTCTGTTTTCTCTGATACAAGTACTGTCACTCCTGCTTTTTTCTCCCTAATAGTTGCCTGAAATATCTTTTTCCATCCCTTTTCTTTCAGTGTATGTATGTCTTTGGGTTTGAAGTGAGTCTCTTGTGGGCAGCATATAGAATGGTCTTTTTTTTTATCCGTTTCTAGTGACTCTGTGTCTTTTGATAGGTGCACTCACACCATTGACATTTAGTGTGATTATGGATAGGTATGTACTTATTCCCATTGAAGGCTTTAGATTCATGGTTACCAAAGGTTCAAGGTAACTTCCTTACTAGCTAACAGTTTAATTTAACTCACTTAGTATGCTATTACAAATACAATCTAAAGGTCCTTTTTTTTTCTCCTCCTTTTTCATCCTCCTCCATTCTTTATATTTAGGTATCATATTCTGTACTCTTTGTCTATGGCTTGACTGACTTTGGGGGTAGTTGATTTGATTTTGCATCTGCTTAGTAATTAATTGTTCTACTTTACTGTTTTTTTATTTTCTCTGGTGGCAGCTATTTAGCCTTAAGAACACTTCCTTTTATGGCAGTCCCTCCAAAATACACTGTAGAGACGGTTAGTGGGAGGTGAATTCTTTCAGCTTTTGCTTATCAGGAAATTAATCTGTTCTTCAAACTTAAATGATAATCTTTCTGTGTAGAGTATTCTTGGTTTGAGGCCCTTCTGCTTTATTGCATTAAATATATCATGCTATTATCTTTTGGCCTGTGAGGTTTCTGTTGAGAAGTCTGATGATAGCCCAATGGGTTTTCCTTCATATGTGATCTTTTTTCTCTCTCTGGCTGCTTTTCATACTCTGTCTTTATCTTTGATGTGTGCCATTTTAGTTACTATATGTCTTGGTGTTGTCTTCCTTGGGTCCCTTGTATTGGGAGATCTGTGCACTCCCATGGCCTGAGAGACTATTTCCTTCCCCAGATTGCAGAAGTTTTCAGCAGTTACCTCCACAAAGATACTTTTTCTCTCTCTTCTCCTGGTACACCTATAAGGCAAATATTGTTCCATTTGGATAGGTCACATGGTTCTCTTAGTATTATTTCATTCCT